AAGAGGCGAGAGAAGGGGACAGTTCTTTCCGGGGCTAACTCAATGGGTGCACCAGAGCCTGCGGAGCATACTTTTTTGCATCAGTCTCCTCACTGATAAACTGGAAGAAAAGTACATGGCAGAGAGAGTGACATTAGTCAATATTTGTAACAAGTCAGGGCACACAAGACACTTTTGTTCTCACCTTTCCCTTTTTAAATTAAGGAGCATCTGCCCTGAATACAGTCTTGCACAAAACTAAATCCACCTAAACACAAATTCACATTAACTACAAAAGCCTAGTGATCATTAAAAATTCCTGGGAGTAACAGATTACCATTCACTAATTAATCGGGTTTAGGTAACTCAAGCGCCACTTAAAGCATCGTTGCTCCTTAAAGGGGTAAATGCAATGATAGTCACTTGGGAAATTTCTGAGTTGTCACTCCTCTGGGGAGACCAAAATGATACAATCTTAGTTGTAAATTTCTCCCTAAAGTTTCTGAGGGTGAACAATTTCCAGCCTCCTCAGACAAAGGTAAGATGAGTCAGCTGGCATTACTGTCAACCGGAATGAAATGCAGGCCACCTTTGTGTCTACAACTAACAGACTTTGTTAAGCATCAGATGTAGGACAGTGGTTTGTGGAGTGAAAGCAAGGTGGGTGTCCACTGGGCAAGACACTGCACAGCACTGCCCGTGCAGGGAAATTGAACAGAGAATGAGCCGAATGGGGAGACGTCAACGCTAAACCTACGCATGCAGAAACACACCAGTGCATGCAACCCACATACTCACTGTTTTCCCATTATGATATTAAAACATGCTCTTCGTTTTCAAAGACATCAGAAAGTAAAAGGTGTCTCACACCTTCCAATCACATTTCCCAGAAATGTCTGTCAACAGGAAGTACATGCCCTTCTCAGAATTTCTCCCATGTGTAGATAAATACGCATATGCACGATATTGCTCCGTCTTGCGTCTACAAAAATGGGCCAATTCTATACAAACAGTACTACAATTTATCTTTTCCAATTGATGGTGGACACCATTCCATATTGGTACGTATAAATCTATCTCATGGTTTGTATTTAGATTTATTTTAAAATAATTTCACCTATACAAAGAGTGTAAAAAACACAGAGATGTTCCATTTAGCCTTGCAGCTTCTCAATGCTGACATCTTATATACAGTACAATTATTTAGTTGTGTCAGGAAATTAACTTTAGTGCAATACTATTGCCTAATCTAGCAATTTAGTATACTATTGCTTTGTTGCCTTATCTAGAGACAGTATTCAAATTTCATCGATAACACTTTTTTCCAATGCAGAATGCCGCCCGCAGCCATGTGTTGCATATACATTTGGCATGCCCCTTTGTCTCTTTTAATCTGGACTCACTCCTCAGTCTTTGTTTGTCTTCCTTTTTTTTTTTTTTTTTTTTTTTTTTTTGAGATGGAGTCTTGCTCTGTAGCCCAGGCTACAGAGCAAGGTACAGTGGCATGATCTCAGTTCACTGCAACCTCCACCTCCCGGGAACCGGTTCAAGCAATTCTCCTACCTTAACCTCCCAAGTGAATTAATCACTCAGGTTTCACCCTCAGAAACATAAAGTTCTGGCATAAGAGGGACAGAAGGACTGTTCTGACCAGTGTCTGGTCAGAAAGGTGAGTTTGGTATAGCAGTATTGTGCCAGGGAGCTTCCCTGGTCTGAATGTTGGTGTCTCCCCAAAACGCATAGTTGAAATCCTAACACTCAAGGCGATGGTATTTGGAGGTAGGGCTTTGGGAGTTGATGAGATCATGAGTGTGGAATCCTCATGAATAGGATTAGTGCCCTGATAAAAGAGACCCCAGAAAGCTCTCTTGCCCCATCCTCCATGTGAGGACGCAGTAAGAAAACGCTGAACCGGGAAGCCAGTCCTCACCAGACACCAAATCTGCCAGCACATTGATCTTGGACTTTCTGGTTTTGAGAAGGATGAGAAATAAATTTTCATTGTTTGTAAATCCCCCAGTTTAGGTATTTTGTTACAGCAGCCCAGATGGATGAAGACAGGAATGAAGGGGAAAATCATGGACAGAGAATCACTTTTGTTCCACGAACCTTTCACACTCTGTGACTGGCTGGAGGTGAACAGGGGAAAACAGAGTCCTAATCTGCTGAGGGCCAATGGCAAGTCTGAAAGCGTCACAGGAAGGGTGTCAGCCTCAGCCTTCTGGGGCCCTTGAACAGCCGGGCACCGGTGCAGAGGAAACCCCCCGAGAAGCATTCAGCCCACATTTCCCCCCCAGCTAGCCTCACTTCCCCCCTCAGCACTGCCCTGGTTTATTTTGACAAGGTTGTTTCCACCCAGCACGGTCACACACCCTTGCAGACACCAGGGAGCCCTGCCCACTCTGGGAACCACTGTTTCACTGTGGAAAACCCGAAGCATCACCTTTATGCACAGCAGACTGGGAAACAAAGCTGCTGGCGAGCCCCTCAGGAGTAGTCATGACTGTAGGCAAGCAGCAAAATGGGGTGCAGACAGCAGGCAGGGCTTCCTGGCACAGACCTGCAGGTGGGTGGTGGGGGTGGGGTGAAGGCAGCAGCAAAGCCCTGTGCTTCCAAGTGACGAGCTTGGAAACCTGCTTCAAGCTGAACTTAGCAAAGGAGGCAAGGGTAGAAAACGCAGAAATACGCCTCCCAAGAGAAGAGGAAACGTTCCAGATGTTTTAACGGGTAGAATTTCAGATAAAAACAAACCATGTATTGAAAATGGAAAAGGCGCAAACAGGACAATGTGGTCTGGGAGAAGCAGCAGCTACATAAAGCAAGTACACCCCTGGCCGGGTGCGGTGGCTCGTGCCTATAATCCCAGCACTTCGGGAAGCCAAGGCGAGCAGATCACAGGTCAGGAGTTTGCGACCAGCCTGGCCAACATAGTGACACCTGTCTCTATTAAAAATACAAAAAATTAGCTGGGCGTGGTGACAGGCACCTATAATCACAGCAACTCAGGAGGCTGAGGCAGTAGAATCACTTGAACCTGGGAGGCAGAGGTTGCAATGAGCTGAGATCGCACCACTGCATACCAGCCCGGGCAACAGTGCAAGACTCTAACTCAAAAAAATAAATAAATAAATAAGCAAGTCCACCCGTTTTAGAATGGGATCTGGGGATGGAGTCATCAGAACTGAGAAGCCTGGAGGAGCGTGCAGAGCTCCAGGCTGGGCTGGCACCTCTGGTAGTAGCACAACGCAGCCGATTCCAGGTATGGGAATAAATAACAAAACCCTATGCACTAAAATCCACTATTGCTATGGATTAGTGGATTAGGGACAAAGTGCTGCTACCAGGAATGTATAGCTACAGTGACACTGTCAGACACAGAGGCAAATGGGAAGGGCAAGGCCCTCCGCCCTCCCCACCTGCCATTGTTCCTTTGAACAACCAGGTCTGGCCACTCTGGGCCTACAGAATTTCAGGGCCATGATCAGCAGACACAGACTGGCCATTGCCCCCTTTATCCTGGGCATACACAAGAACGAGAATCAAAATATTTCTCCACAACTAACTTGCCATGCACAAACCCTGGGCAACCAGTGAGGTGCCTGATCATTCAGAGCAGGTGCTGGCCTGAGTCTGGGGCCAGGCCAGTTCATTACATGAGGTCTCCTAGCTCCTGATTACATCTGGTGCTTCCAGTTCTGCATCAAGCCCCTCTGACTGCCCAATAGGCCCACATCACTTATTTTTATTGCCTGCCAGGCCTCTGTAGACAACTGAGTTTGTGACACCTGGCTGAGAAGGAAGGCAGGTAGGAGATTCTACGTGATATGTCTTTCATCCCCATTCTGAGTGCCTCGGGTCCCAGGAAGGCAGGGGCATCCCTGACAGGACTAGCCCAGGAGCAGTGTACAGAGGAAGAGGTTGTATGAAGTGGGAGTGGCATGGGAAGGAAAGGGCAGCAGGAAAGGCTGTCAGTAAGAGGACAGGAGGACAGGACAATCCAGAAACCAGCAAGGCCACAGGAAGCCCAGGGCAGGGACATGTTCAAAGACATGTGAGCATAACACGGAGTCCTGGTTTGCAAACATCCAGGCAGTACATTTCTGAGTCTCTTTCTACAGGCGTCTGACTCACCTTGATTTTGTTGAATGAGGCCACATTGACCACAGGGAAAAGTCCAATGTTCTCAGCCCACTGCTCTTGCCCCATGTGAATTTTCCAATGTCTCCATTCATTACCTTCTTTTGCCAATCAGTGTGGCCAAAAAAAAAGTCTGTTAAAAGTGAATGGAGGCTGGCAGCAAGTGGCTCACGCCTGTAATCCCAGCACTTTGGGAGGCCTAAGTGGGTGGGTCATCTGAGGTCAGGAGGTTGAGACTCGCCGGGCCAACATGGTGAAACCTCATTTCTACTAAAAATACAAAAATGAGCCAGGCCTGGTGGTGTGCACCACCTATAATCCCAGCTATCTGGGAGGCTGAGGCAGGAGAATCACTTGAGTTTGGGAGATGGAGAATGCAGAGAGCTGAGATCACGCTACTGCACTCCAGCCTGGTCAACAGAGTGAGACTCTGTCTCAAAAAAAAAAAAAAAAAAAAAAAAAAATAGTAGGTAGAACATGGTAATGAATTAGAGTTGGATACAGCAGTATGAACTCATATTTAGCTTAACATAGGTAAGATGGATACCTGTAGAAATATTTACACTTACATGCATGCACACAGATTCGTATACACACAGATATTTATTTATTTTTGAGGCAGAGTCTTACCCTGTCGCCAGGCACCAGGCTGGAGTGCAATAGTGTGATCTAGGCTCACTGCAACCTCCGCCTCCTGGGTTCAAGCAATTCTGCCTCAGCCTCCTGAGTAGCTGGGACTACATGTGTGCACCACCATGCCCAGCTAATTTTTGTATTTTTTTAGTAGAGACATTGTTTCACCATGTTGGCCAGGATGGTCTCTCCCAAAGTGCTGGATTACAGGCATGAGCCACTGTGCATGCGTATTTTTATTTATTTTTTTACAGTGGAAAGCGTGAACACAGTCCCTTCACTACTACAAATTATGCAGTCGAGTTTACCACATTTGAAGAAACTGCAGGGGTCAGCACATCCAGAGTGCAACGGATAAGCCTCACCGTGAGGAAACCACCTTCATGATCATGGTATCTCCCCTGCCAGGTAAGTATTTATATATTCATTTAAAACAAATTCTTTTGATCCTCCCCATCCTCCCTACACACTTATATTTCACTGCTCTATCAGTTGAGAAGATCTGGAGGAAACAATAACCCAAGCACATCTAGCAGCCAGATCTTGGATCCTTTCTTCAATAAAATGACTGGGGCTCCTTGGAGAAATGACTGATTCTATAACTGGGGCCGGAAATACAAGATGAGCCCCTAAGCATCCTTAAAGTGCCCGAAAGTACGGAGGTACCAAAAAGAGGAAGAGAGAGAAGGAAGGAAGGAAGGAGGGAGGGAGGGAGGGAGGGAGGGAGGGAGGGAGGGAGGGGGCGAGAGGGGAGGGAGGGAGGGAAGGAGGGAAGGAGGGAAGGAGGGAAGGAAGGAAGGACGGACGGAGGGAGGGAGGGAGGGAGGGAGGGAGGGAGGGAGGGAAGGAGGGAGGGAGGGGGCGAGAGGGAAGGAAGTGAGAGAAGGAAGGAAGGAAGGAGGGAGGGAGGGAGGGAGGGAGGGAGGAGGGGAGGGAGGGAGGGAGGGAGGGGGCGAGAGGGAAGGGAGGGAGGGAAGGAAGGAAGGAAGGAGGGAGGGAGGGAGGGAAGGAGGGAGGGGGCGAGAGGGAAGGGAGGGAGGGAAGGAGGGAGGGGGCGAGAGGGAAGGGAGGGAGGGAAGGAAGGAAGGAAGGAAGGAAGGAAGGAGGAAGGAAGGAGGGAGGGCGGGAGGGAGGGAGGGAGGGAGGGAGGGAGGGAAGGAAAAGGGGACGCGAGGAAGGGAGGGAGGGAGAAAGAAAGAGAGAAAGAAAGAGAGAGAGGAAGGAAGGAAGGAAGGAAGGAAGGAAGGAAGGAAGGAAGGAAGGAAGGAAGGGAAGAAAAAGAGAGAGAGGGAGGGAGGGAGGGAGGGAGGGAGGGAGGAAAACACCCACAATGAGGAAATATGTCAAATGGACACAGGAAGTAACTGAAGTGTTCCTAATAGCCAAGGAAGAAAAATTATGAGCAACAAAATAGTCATACTGGATCATAACCCAAAGAAATTAAAACTTATAAAATAAATACCTGCAAGTCCGTACTGATATATAAATAAATAAATAGGAGAGAGGAGTTAAACCTCCCAGGCAGAAAAAGTCTAAATAGTTCACGTAGATCCTCTAGCCATGGGGAAGGAAGAGCCGGACTCCCCTCTCCTTAGGGGATGGCTACGCACAGTGACTTTCTTCTAAAGACTCTAATATCAAAAGGGAGTTAAGAAAGAGCAAAGAAACAGAAGTATTGTTAAGGTGGACAAACCTGACAAGCACTGCTACAGCCAGGTGGTCAAAGTCACCATCAGGGACAGGTCATGCTGATGGTGCCTACCCTTGATTTGATAAAAGCAGAACTTCACCTCCGTGATCTTCCTCCATAATCCCAATCTAGCGATAAGAAGAAGAATCAGACAACCCTGACAGAGGTATGTGCTACAAAATATCTGACGAGTCAAAACTGCTCATCAAAACGCAGAACTGTCAAGGTCATCAAAAACCACGAGTCTGAGAAAAGCGACACAGCCCATGAGGGCTTAAGGAGACATGATCACTAAAGGTGATGTGGGGTCCCAGATGGGATCCTGAAACAGAAGAACATTCGGTAAGAGCTAAAATAACATTTGAACTTCTATAAATAATAATGTATCAGTATCGGTCCATGAATTGCGGCAAATGTGCCACACTAATGCAAAGTGTTAGTAACAGGGAAAACTGGGATCAGGCATATGGACTTTTTTGGACCATTTTCACCATTCTCCTGTAAATCTAAAACTCTTCTGAAAATAGAGATTATTTTTTAAAAGTGTCTGGAGGATGTGCAAAAGCATATGGAAGCAGAAGGGCTACAGGTAAAAAAATCATGACACCTGGAAAATCTCCTTCCATTTTTGCTCCCCGCGGTGAATATCTTACACCACTCCCATTAAACTCTGAGCAATGTTATCAGCCTGGAAAGTGAACTGGCATAAATGTGTAATGTCAAAGCTGGGAGGGACTATGGTGGCCATCCAGCCCCCAGCTTTCAACCGCACTTGAGGAAAATCCGATCCAAAGACCAGAAGCAAATGACCAATGAATGTTTCAGTTCCGCACCCAGGGGTAGAGCTAAAATCCTCAGGGTCCTGGAAGGGTGACAGACAGCAATGTCAGCCAGTTCTCCGAACAGCCCACTCTGCAGAGGCTCACTAGGGCCAAGAGCCTTCTTCCCAGCCACAGGGCTGGCAAGCAGCAAAGCAGAGAGCCAGGCTCAGGTCTCCTTTCCAGCTTCACAGAAGCACGACCTCCCTACCACCACTAACCCTCACACCCTCAACCAGTCCCATGGCCAGTCACTGTCCCATTTCCTCCCACAGCAGCAGGGGGCGGGGCCGAAGACTCAGATAAGACACAACTCAGGAAGGATGCCACTTAGATTGGTTTCTCTTTTTTTTTTTTTTTCTTGATTCTGTCTTTATGAAACTTTTCTTTAACACGACACTGTTTAAGGTCCTGAGCTGATTTCTTGTGAGCTTGAAGCCAGGGTGCCCATGCTCTGCAAAAGCAAAAAGATGCCCACATGAGTCCTTGAGGCTCAGTGCTGTCATACAGTGCATGGACAGGCCAAGGTCCTAATTTCAAGGTTTTATTTTTGGAGAAGAAAAAAAATCCACAGGATTCAGGATGCCCTCTGTCCCACAATGAGTATGTCCCCATTGCAACCAGCTCTGGGAGTGTGACAAAACTGAAAAGGAAACAGTTCCAAACAGAAGGACACCAATTACCAGCAGAACCTTATTACTCACAGCAACTCAGGCCAAGGGTTCATGCAGTGCAGGGTTTCTGAAACCCGGCTATTCCTGGGAAGGAGAGAGAGAAAGAGACCTGGATGCTGGGTGGGGGTTCTGTTATTTACTTCATTACAAATCAAGAAGAAAACCTACAGGATCAGGAGCTTTTCCTAGCTCCTCAAGTAAACCTGGATCCCAAGAGGAACAAAAAGGGGAAGGGTGAGGGCCGGAGAGGAATCGGAGTGCAAGGTCAGAGGTCCTTGAGAGAGGGAAGAGGAGGTGTCTGCTTTCGAAGAATGGCGATAAGAGGCATGTTGGGATGGAGATGCCCAAATGTGTAGCACTTATACTGATTTAGCAAATGGCCCTCTCATTAGTAAAAGCTTCTAAACATTAGCCTTAAGTTTAAAAAAAAGTTTTTTTTTGAAATTATGCAAAAGCCCAGAGCACCAGTATGCACTTCACACACGTTCCGTGGGAAGATTCCTCCATTTGCAAACTTGTATATTACATAATCATCTCCATTTCCTCACAGATTGTGAAGAGTAAATGAGATAACATAATGTAAAGTGCTTGGAACGTGGTGAATAAGACACCTGAGCTGTTACTATTTTTACTGGTAGATTACAAGTAGTCTCTTCACAGCCATCACTAACACGACTATCACCACAAACACTATTACTACTATAAGGACAGTACTTATTAGTGGGGCTTAGTAGTATCTATCATCATTCTCAATACTTAGCATATTTCAGGAGGAAAACTGATGAATGGACTGATATAATGCACAATTAAGGAAATGGACAAAGAAATGGATACATTCCTACAATGTGGTGAGTGTATCTTAAAAGGAAAGAGGTCGAATAGGTTGCAAAGAGGAAAACCAGGAGTCAAGAGCTGTCTCTAGTGCCAGGAGCTGGATGCTGTTAACCCAGGAGTGTTCAAAAATACCCAACTGATGTCTGAGCAAGGAAGAGACAAAGAATGACAACAGTCAATTGGGCTCAGCTTAGACAAACCCTTAAAGCCAGGACACAGACAGAACAGGACAAGAGTGACACTTACAGTTACTTGATTCAGGATCCTCATTTTAAAGATGGGGCTGTGAAGGATCCAAGGGGTCAGCTGGGCTCAATACGTAAAGGGCAGCTTTGGGCCAAGGGAATCAAACCAGCCTGGTGGGCGGAGCTGCACGCTACCCAGTAAATACAGGTGTTTGGATAGACTGTGTCTCTGCAGGGCGATGGTTAATTTTATGTGTCAACTTAACAGGGACAAAGGGTGCCCAGAGAGCTGGCTAAACAGCATTTCTGAGTGTGTCCAGATGAGACTATCATTTGAACCAGGAGCCTGAGGGAATAAAGCAGATGGTCCTCTCCAATGCAGAGTGGGCCTCATTCAGCCCACTGAGGGCCTGAATAGAATCTAAAGGCACAGGAAGGTTGAATTTCATCTCTGCCAGATCGCTTGTGCTGGGACATCAATCTTCTCCTGCCGTTGGCATTCCCGGTTCTCAGGCCTTCAGACCCAGACTGGAATCTACGCTACGGGCTCCCCAGCCCTCTGCCCTTCCTGTGACAACAGCAGCTGTCCTAGTTCTCCAGCATGCAGGTGGCAAATCACAGGACCTCTCAGCTCCATAATTGCATGAGTCAATACCTTATCATAAATAAATCTCATAGATATAGACATAAACCTCAAGGTAGATATTGATATAGACATAAATATGCATCTATCTTCATCTTCTATTGGTCCCGTTTCTCAGGAAAACCCTGACTAATACAGCAGCATATTTTGAAAACTTTAAAGAAGGACAGAGATCTTTTTTGTCCACTCTGTTGGCTCCTCAGAGCCTAACTCAGCACCTGACTCATAGCAGGAAAGTAGACAAGGGCGGAGAGGACAGCAGGGAGTGGCCACCTCCTGACAGTCACTACACAAGGTGCCAGGAAGGTGGGTCCGGTGAGACCCAAGGCTCTGCGCCCAGGGAAAGCTGAACAAACCATGTTCCCAGGTGACATTCCCAAACACCACTCCCTATCATCAGATCCCTTCCTACAAAAGTCACTGTAGAGAGAAAGATCCGCATCTTCAGAAGAAATGGAGCTGAAACAGGGGGCCAGGAGCGGGCAGAGAACAATGGTGGAGAAGGAGAGATGGGTGGAGAAGGGGTGAGGAGCAGCACGAGAGTATGGTGGACATGCTGGGAGGACAGGTGG